AGGAAGGCGTCCAGCGGTGGCTCCCCCGTTGCCCGCCTGCCCAGCCCCCCCCAGGAACGCTCCCATGCACCCCAGTCCTTATTGTAGGCGGCCCAGGTGGCCGGCGCGAGCGAATCCTTCACGAGTCCCCCAAGCAGGACGCTCCTAGCTGCCACATCTCGTTCGGGCATGCCTGGCCCACGTCCTGCGCCTCCTGGGCCACCGTCTGAAATCTGGACCACTGAAAACGAGACAAAGCATCAGCCACCTCGTTCAAATACCCCGGCACATGGCGCGTGCGAAAGACCACATTAAGGGACATGCACAGCAAGACAAAGCGCCGCAATAACGTCACCACTGGCCTTGACGCCACCGACTGACTGTTGACCACATGCACCACGGACATGTTGTACGAGAAAAAGACCACCTTCTGGTCTCGCAGGCTATCCCCCCACAGAGCCAACACCACCACCAACGGGAACAATTCCAGGAAAGCCAGGTTACGCATGAGGGGGCTCTGCCCCCACGCCACTGGCCACTTTTCAGCGCACCATCTCCCACCGAAGTAGGCCCCAAACCCCACGCTACCAGACGCATCAGTGAACAGTTCCAATTCGGCCACGACAAGCCTTCCTGTCGAAAGAACACCGTCCCGTTGAAATCCCGTAAGAAGGTGTCCCACACTACCAAGTCGGCCCGCATGGACGAAGATACCCATATGAAATGGTGTGGGGACCGTGCCCCCGCGGTAGCCGCCGACAGGCTGCGGCTAAACACCCTACCCATTGGTATCACCCTGCAGGCGAAGTTCAGCATCATTATCAGCGATTGCAGCTGCTTCAGCGTCACCTTGCACGCCTGCCGCACCGCGTCCACTGTGGACCACAGTCCCTCCAGTTTGGACAGCGGCAGCCGGCATTCCCCGAGCACCAAATCTATTTCCAGCCCCAAGAAGCTGAGGCACACGGTCGGGCCCTCTGTCTTATCCGCCACCAGCGGTACCGCGAAATGGCCTGCCACCCATTCAATGGTCCTCAGCAGGTGCAGGCACGCGGAGGCGTCGGCCGGCCCTACGCAGAAGAAGTCATCCAGGTAGTGCACCACCGCTCTGTCCCCCGCCTCAACCCGCACCACCCATACGAGAAAAGAACTAAACTTCTCGAAGTAAGAGCAAGAAATGGAACAGCCCATTGGGAGGCATAAGTCCACAAAATAGCCTCCATCGAAGAAGCACCCCAGCAGGTGGTGACATGCCGGGTGGGCTGGGAGCAGACGAAACGCAGCTTCGATATCAACCTTGGCCATAAGAGCCCTACGCCTGTCCCTCTTTACCAGCTCGACCGCCTGGTCGAATGATGCATAAGAGACCGAGCACAGCTCCTTATCGATATCGTCATTCACCTAAACTTCCCTGGCTCCTTCTTAGGGACCACCCCGAGAGGAGAAACCCGGAGGCCCTCTAACGGTGGTGCCCGAAACGGTCCTGCCATCCTACCCAACAGCACTTCCTTGCCCAGCTTGTCCCGCACCACCCCTGGAAATTCCGCCACCGATTTCTGATTACGCGGACATACCGTACCGTCCTTACCCCAGAACGGGATAAAGAACCCCCGCCCGAACCCAGCCCTGAGTAGCTCGACGTCCGCCCTATTACCGTAGCGGCTTAGCCAGGGCTCCATCGCGTCTAGCTTCACCGGGGTGAGTCCCCGGGGCAGCGGAAGCCCCCCCGCCTCCGGCTGCTGAAGGATCTCCTGCTCCCCCCGACTTACCTTTCTTGAAACATCGCTGCCGACGAGGTGGACTGACCTTTTGCGCCAGCCGCGTGCTGAAAGGGCTGCGCTTTTTGCTCCATCATCAGCTTCATCCAGAGAGGCAGGTCCATCTGGTCCCTCCTCATACCCGGATTGGCCGCCAGCCGCTGCCGGAACTGTTCGTCATCCCGCCACCAGGCCAGCCCGCCATAGGTGTGGTATGCCTCCCAAATCCCGTCCAAGTAGCAAAACAGGGAAGAGCATGCGCCCGGTGATTTCTCCCCTATCACACTGGCCAGGACGCAGAACGCCCTCAACCAGTTCCCAAAGGATTTCAGTATCTTGCGATACGTACGCGTGCTGCCTCGCCGCTTCCGACATCCCCCGGTCAGCTTTGCCCGCTCACTTCCCGCATCCCCCGCGCCAGGCGCGGCCTCCGCCTCCTCGACGATTGCCGACACCGCCGAGGTACCCACACTGGGCCCCACTGCCGCCGCCCCATGCGCCCACACTTGCCCTTTGCATGCAGGATGCGGGGGGTGAGCAGCTGGGGGATAGTGCCCGGGAGAGGAAGGTCCACATGGGGTGCCAGCTAGCCGCAGGCGGAGGGGGGAAGTTGGGGGGCAGGCTGATGCAGTGCAGGGGTTAGCGGGCAGGTCCCCCCGCGGCCGGTGGGGAGGTGGGGCGGACACTGCTGCAGTTCATGGATCCGTCCAGCAGGTGGCGTCTGGAACACAGATGATGTCTTCTGTGGATGCTGGAACTGTTGTTTCTTTGCCTCAGCTTTCTGGGAGTGCAGTGCCGAGTTTGGATAGCCAGTCTGCGACCCGGTGAGTACTTTGTTCCCGCCACTTCTGGCGCTGCGGGTCCCGGGCTGGGAGGGTTCCTCTCAGGTCTTTGGGGATTTTTGGATCAGTGGAAGCGGGGGATGGCGGTTAGTGGGGTCAATTCTATTGATGGTCAACTCCGGTCAGCTTGGTCCCCTGCCCTGCTCCCTGTTATGTCACAAGTGATTTAAATGTGGAACACAACTGCAGATTATATATTTCCTTATTTTAATAATAGAGAGTGAAATGAGAATCCTTTAATTAATCAGGTTACTGTAGCTTTAAGGCAGCGTGGCTTTTGCAGGTTGTTAGTTGAAGACATAAAGCATTAATAATTGTAATAGTATTTTAGTAGTAGCAGATTTTAGCAAGCAGGTAACAGTTCATTAGCAAGTAAGAACTAATTGTATACTTATGATTGTTGGATGTGTCCTCCAAAGAAAGGTTAGTTTGAGTCTGCAGGCTGGTTAAACATCTAACAGTCCGGTTTCCAGTATTTAGGAAGAGAGCAGGTAAATTCAATACACGGTCCGTGGTCAGAGGGAGATGAGAAGGCAGAAATCCGTTTGAACAGCCCAAGGTTCGGTACACAGTTTTAACGGAGATGAGCTTAGCCGGCAATGTGATTGCGGAAGTAACAACCAGAAATCACTAAGCAATTTTATCTGGCGCGGTCTCTCTATAAAGCTTGACGGTTCCACATACCGGAAATGCCGGAACAGAGCCGAAAAGATAAGTCCTGACACTCCCTCCTAATGTTCAGTGTTCTCCCCCTCCTGGGCACCTGCCCAGGACGGGTGGCGGTACGGTGTCTCTTGGTTCCCCGGCGCCCGCGGTGGCCAGTGCTGGTTCCGCCTCGGGGCGATGCTTGTCTCGAAGTGGGTCTTGGACGTAGCGCGGGGTGCTGCTTACATGTGCTGGTCTGCCCTCTGGGCAAGCACTTGAAGAAGGAGAAGATTTGGAAGGGGGAATTTGTGGAGATATTTTATCTCCTACCGCTGGAGGAAACTCCTCCCGTGGCAGACAAGGACAGTAAGGAGTTGGAAAAGGATAGGGAGAAGTACCATTTTCGCAAAATTCCCAAGACCTTTGGGAACTGGATTCGGGCGTTCTCTATTTTGGCAAGCGTGGTGGGGGAGAAGTCTCCCCAAAAGTGCTCCACGCTGTTCTGTTATCAGGACATGATCTGGAACGCTTGACGCACCTATGGGGGGCTGGGTTGGTGGAGGTACGACGAGCAGTTTCGACAGCGGCTGGCAGTGCGTCCCTCGCTGTCGTGGGATCAGATGGATATCGGCCTCTGGCTTTCCATCATGACTCGTCCAGCCCCTCAACAGAGTGCGTTTTCGTCCTTTCTTGGGGGGGCCGGTGAGGGCACGTCCTCCTCCTCATGCGCATTCAGCCAAAGAGGAGGAGAGGAGGCGGAGAGGAGGCGGAGAGGAGGCGGAGAGGAGGCAGAGAGGAGGAGGAGAGCTCCCCGCCCAGCGCTGGAGAAAGAGGTAAGTTTAACCCCTTCCTCTCCATCCAGCCCGGCAGGAGGGGGACCCTGAGGGTGGGGGCACCCTCAGGGCACTATAGTGCCAGGAAAACGAGTATGTTTTCCTGGCCCTACAGTGATCCTTTAAAGGAACTTAACATATATAGCTTGGAGGAAAGACGAGATGGGGGGATATGATAGAAACATTTAAATACATAAAGAGAATAAACACAGTAAAGGAGTGAATATAAAGGTCATTGGTTATCTGGAGAGGCCTCCACGTACAGGATTTCTCGAGGATTTCTCATCTATTAGTTGATGAATTTTAGCCTGTGTATTCTCTGGAATTGTATGGTCATTGATGGCTGGCCACTGGCACTTCAGCAGCTGGCTGAGAATTTTTGGAAGCACAGGCCACAAAAACTGGAGTGCCAGAGTTTAGCCAGCATTTACTATGTGTGCACAATGCTCTACGGACATGGCATTGGTGCCCTAGGTTATAATTTTTTTTACATTTATTTGTTTTCTATTCTAAATTTTGAGTGACCCTATTTTAGTAACTAAACTGGTGGAAGAAACGCAAGGTGTGCTAACGGTCCATGGTTTAGGGGCTCAATACCTGTCTTGCTACGGGCGCTGGCAGTGTCAACCCACGCTACGCCACTGATGAGCAGGTTCTCAGGATAGATAGGCACATTCTTAGGCAGATGTTCAGGATATATGGCAGATTCTAAGTGTGAATGTGCAGCTTGTTGGGGTTAAAAAGCACATTCTTTAGTACAGATGAAAACATGGAGATGTTCTTTGTTTCGCAGTGTGTGTACTATATTAAGTGACATATTTCTTTCCTCCATCAGATTCAGTTTTCGATCATTCCGCTGGTTTCTAGCCCTGCTCTTTGCTGTGAAAGAAGTAAATGAGACACCCGGGGCTTTGCCAAACCTTACATTAGGTCTCAGGGTGGTGGACACATGCAGTGATGCAAGAGAGGCCCTGCGAGGAGCATCATTTCTCATCACAGGTGGTCCAGAAGGAGCCTTCAGCCACAGATGCTGGGGATTGCATTACAGACTGGCTGCCATGCTCAGTGACGCAGGGACAGAATCTGCGCTAAGTGTGGCAAACGTGATTGGCATGTACAACTACCCACAGGTAATTCGAGATATTATTGTATTTTGGTACATGGTTAAAGGAATCAGATTAATAGAAGAACAGTTTAAAGCACTAAGGAATCTGCTGGCACTATATAAATGGCAATAATAATAATAATAATAACAGTGGGTAGAATGTTAGTAATTTCTTTGGAATGGAGGAAGGGAGTCTATGATGAGGCCATGGAGCTGGGAGAAAATAGATGTTCATTAATAATGACAATCTTAGTCTAATCCACATGTGCACCAATACTACCAGTCCGGTGGTTCTGAAAGAGGGGCACTGAATATGATACTTCTCTGTGAGAAGCATTAGCAATGTTTGGCATGATTATACTGTGTGTGATGACACCTGTGAAGAAATGCCTTTTTTTTTTACTGTGTATGCCCTCTTTGTATTTGTGTTAATAGCAATATTCCCCTATGCATTCGGTAGGTAAAACTACCGAATGCAGACCCCCCTGTCACTCCTTTATACAGACTGTCCCCCCTTGCTGGCTGGATTACGTTCGGCAGAAGTTTTGCACGAACGGCAGGTCTCGCCGCCATTTCGGGACTTCCTTGTGTTCGCGGCCATTTTAGCTCCTGAACAGCGGTGTTTGCCATTGAATGTCTGGAACTGAAAACGGACACTCAAACAGGCGAACACCGCTGAAGCCTCCAGACCTTCGGTAAAACCCCTTCCAAACTACCGAAAGACCGGGGTACATCCAAACTTTGGGGAATTTCTGGTACGTTTTAATTGTGTTTAATGGTTATCTGAGGGGAGGAGATGTACAGTATGTATATTGTTAGGATTGGATGTATGGCTAATTATATGGGAGGCTGCCTTGCATGGACTGAATTCCATAAAAAGAGCATGCCTGTCATTAAACCTCAGTTCATCTTTGTACCCTTATTCTGACTACGTATGCTGTTTGGGAGTTCGTGTGTTTTACTGTGGGAATTATCCAGGAACACTATTGGATTTACAATTGGGAATTCGTCTACTATAACTACCGAACGGAGGGCTATATTCACTGGGCTCTGCCTGTTCGGGAGGAAACTACCGATTAAGGTTTAAATGTACTTGGTTTCCTTACAACGCCATATGAAAAGGCACTAGATATCTGAAGGTTTTTTTTTTGGTTTTTTTTTTGTTTTTTTTTTATATTTTTTTTTTTTGCAGTGCATATATGTATAACAAGCATGCAGGTGGTACCCCGACGGCATTCCACGTGCTTATTTCAAAACATTTATAACAGGGGAATATGCTAACAATGCACAATTTTATGTAGTTATATATAGGTTGAAGATTATCATGGTGGAGCATATTTTCACACAGATTATACTAGGACAAGCATGTATATTGCAAACTTCCTTTTACGTCTATGTGTGAGAAGGTGTATAAAGATTTATAGTTGCTAGTGTGTTCACATGCAGGTAAACCAACAGCCATCAAGTGAGTTTTAACTATGCTTAGGATGCCACATTAGATTGTGTTAGCTAGCACTTAAAATATTACTTATCGATCACTCAGCAGAAGGTATGGGTATAACATGTTAATGGTCGTTACTTTGAGTTTAGTCAGCAATCAGAAAGCAGTTTGTGCGTCAGGAGGCATAGTCGGGGAAGTCCAGCGATATGCCTGACAATTGTCACGGTCACCTTCATCCGATCCCCTCTGGGCTCGCACTGTAGCCCCTGGGAGTCGCCATCCCCTGTGGTGTCAAGGACATACGTGCGTGTAGAAGCCATGCATCCGGCCTTTGGTGATAGAGGTTTGCATATTGGGGGGGTCGGCGCTTCCCTGTTGGGCAGGTCGCTTCGACACCCGTCCGGATTCGTGGTCGCTTGTAGCGGAGGTGAATGTGGGGTTGAGAGCTGGCTCTTAGTTGCCGCTTGTTCCGCCGTCGGCGCCTCTTAGTGGAGCCGCCGGTAGTAACCGTTCTGCGTCTGCTCGTAGGGCTGGAGGTCTCTGGAGGTATACTTGCAGGAGTGGTCAGTATAGTTGAAGCAGTATGCAGCTTTCTCTCTGCTATCTTAGCCCAGAAGGCAGCAAATATTTCGTCGAGTTTGGACAGAGAGTGATTCTCTGGATCTCCGCTGGCCCCCATAACTGCCGATTGGCACGTGGCATTCGCCATATTGGAGTCGGTGGTCCTTGGGTCGGACAGTCTTTGGGGCAAACAATCGGTATGCTGTTGGTGCCGGGATATCCCTCACCGGCAAGGGGGGGGGAGAGGGAGGCTCGTGGGTGGTCCTCTGCAGCTTAGGGTCCGTTTCTAGGGAGTCTCGGGCTGGGTGATCGGCCGCCTCACCCTCGCCTTTGTCTCTACCCAGGTTGCAGGTCCAAGCGTCGCAGTAGGCCCCAGCGATATGTCTCGAGTTCCCGGTGTCTTAGAGTTGTATTTGCGGTTTCGTTGCAATCTCCTTTGCATCCTCTCCATGGGTGGTGCAATTTAACGGAGTTTGTAGCTTGTTAGCCGGGTTATTTTGGCATAAGTTGTAGTTTCAGACGGGAGCTCATGCTACCCACGTCTGATCAGCTCCACAGCCAGGCTCCGCCCCCTGAAGGTTTTTAATGAGGAAACACTCCTAGCTGTTTTCAGTCTGACAGCTTTCAGACAAATGTTTACATTGTCTGAAAGATGGGAAATCAAGAAGAAATTGATTATTGGCTTAGAGTGTCCATTTAAAGGGGTATTTCTGCTTTTAGAAGTGGTCATCATGGTAGGAGTCTGTACGTGCAGTGTTTCTGCTTGAAACGTTGCACATACTGAAATAATTGCACTTTTGTACCGGGCAGCTAGTTATAAATCTGGCTCAGGTGACTTTGGCAAGCTAGAACTCTGTTCCAGATTGCCAAATGTCAATTCTGTGCAAAATTGACATCGGTCTCCAACGCACATCGGTCTCCTCCCTTGCATGACAGGCGCATTGTTGTCATATGGGCTGGTGGAACCCTATTATCATACCCAATAGAACACAAACACTGATATTATATGGATTAAATAAGTCCACAGCTTTAATAAATATATAAATTATAACTTAACATGAGAGCATGAATAAATAAAGTCATTACTCCCCACCCTATAACATAACATGTCCCTCTGTCATAAAAGGCAATGACCCATATTTTCAAGCAATAAACATAAATTATAGCAAACAATTAACATCATAATGATAATACATAAAGTGACATTTTATTTCGATAACCATGGTAGGGGTGTACCCAGATACTACCCCACCAGTTTCTGAGCTACCAACAAGCTCGAAACCTACCAACTTTGACATGTACAGTATTAACCCCTTCCTAACTAACAGAATAACTACTCTGTACTGAACCAAGAGACTGTTTTTTCCCCTAAACTTTAACTCACTAACCCCGCCACAAGCTCAGACCTTGATCACTTAAGCTGTCTGAGCTCCGCCATCCCGAAGAAACAAGGCCCTACTCAGCCTTTCCTGAAAACCCCAAGTTTAACATGTCCCAACCCATGTCAGATAGGTTAACCCCATCAGTACGAAAATAACCAAGCAGCATAGCGTCCCGTTCCAAGTGCTGGATCACCACCACCCCAGTTTTCTGAACAAAACTGGCCATCATACTATTCACCTTGCCCTCTCACCACGCAATCGTACCAGGATCCCTTGCGTGTGTCACCGTAACCGGGGAACTATCTCCAGCCATACCACAATTACCCCAGGGACTTCGTCCCAAAGCCGATTGATATCCCGTTCCATCCATTTGACAAGCTGCCGCTGAGGATCCAGCCCTAGATCATTAACCCCTGCATGCACTACCATGAAGTCCGGCCTCTTTCCCCTATTAAACAAAACAAAAGTCCCACGTACATCCCCCCAGCGGGCACCTCGTTAACTGAACCATTGTATCTCAATCCGGTCCACAGGAAAGCTCAGCTGCTGACTCTGAACACTAGCTGCTGCCCTCCTCTTTGTCCAGAAAATGAAAGAATGGCCCACGATCCAGGCCACATGACCAATGGAGATAAGGGGACACAATTAATCAAATGGGGACCACACCTTGCAACCCCTCCAAACCTCCCACCATCAGCCCCAGGCGCACATAGGATCAGAACCAAACCGATTCCAACCTCCCTATCTTTTTGAAAGCTCCCTACCCAACCCCAATCGTGTGGCCTCCGTGGCTGCCCCGATGTGTAAAGAATAAGTCCAAAACTGGCCGGTTTACAACCCAAGCCCCCACAGGCCCACCCAAAATCCTTGAAAAACTGAAAACAAGAGAGCAAGGAACCAACCCAATGCATCAGAAATGAACCCACCCCAGTCCATCAGAACACATTGGTAACACACAGATATCGGGACACATTGGTAACTGGGCATAATGGCGACCCCGGAAGAGCATACAGCACAACATCCTTCCCCTTCCCCAAAACGTCAGTCTTCAATCGGGCAAATTAACTACAAGCAGAACCCCCAGCATCCGGATGTCTTCCATCTGAGAGCCCCCACCCTTGGCCCGGGTACTGCTCACAAGCTCTCCTATCTGGAAAGCACCGAAAAAAGCCAACGCAAACACAGTGCAAAATAAAATGGTCTCATAGCCATCGAAGCACACATCTGGCAGAACTCGAAACAGCCCCTCCAGGACACCTATGGATACATCGAGTATCTGGACCTTTGCGACCCCTCTGAAATCCCTACAGTGCCTGCCTCACCATGAAATGCTTCATTAGATCCTCCCAACCATGAAGTTTAAACAAGAAAGCAAGTGCAGCCATGTGCCTGTCCATTACCGATGGGGAAACCCCTCTTATCAACAGTCGAAATATAAACCACAGGGCGGTGTCCAAACGAGATTCCCCAGTCAACTCCCTCTCCAAGCCAACCCACGACTCTTCCCATGACTCCAAAACCTTACATTGTGCAATACACGTGTGGGGAGCCAAGGAAGCTCTCACAATTCCCCCAAGCAGCTGTTCTGGGCAGCCATTGGCGATGTCACCCAACAGTGACATCGCCAAGCTCCTGTTGAAGATCCGTCCCATGGGGATCACCCTGCAGGCAAAGTTAATTTTACTTAGAAGCGACTGCATTTGTCGGAGCATAACCTTACGAGCCTGACGCACCTCCGCCACCACCGCCCGCAAGGCAGTCAGCTTGTCCTGGGGAAGACTGCATTCCCCACGTTGCATGTTGATCTCCAAACCCAAGAAAATGAGGTCTTGCCCGCCGCGAGCAACACCCAAATTCACCCAGCCACCCATTCAATGGTCCTCAGGAGATGAAAACAAAGCTGGGAATCTGCCGGGCCCAATCCCACAGAAAGACACCCAGGTAATGGACAGAAATTCGACTCCCAGCCTCCACCATAATGACCCATTCCAGAATGTTTTGAAATAAGCGCATGAAATAGAACAGCCCGTAGGGAAGCGCATGTTGACTAAGTATGTCCCGTCAACAAAACAACCCAACAAATGATTACAGTCGGGATGAACAGGGAGCAGCTGAAAAGCCACCTCAATATCCACCATTGCCATAAAGGCATCATGTCCAGCCCGCTTAACCAACTCAATGGCATGGTCAATGTCCTTGTTTACTGACGAGCCTTTTGGGTAAGAGAGGTGATGTACAAGGCAAAACTTACCCGGCTCCTGCTTGGGGACAACCCCTAAAGGAGACAGGCGCAAGTTGGGGAAAGGCAGATCTCTAAACAGGCCGGCCATCTGTCCCAGCTAAACCTCCTTATCCAATTTCTCGCTCACCACCTAAGGAAAATATGACACCGACTTCAAATTTCGGAAGCCCTGTGTACCCCCCCGTTACTGAAAAGGAATAAAGAAACCCTCCCTGAAAACCAACAAAGCCGCATCACCCTTCTTAGCCATGGTGAGTGACCCACTGTGAGTGGGTTTCTTGTAGGCCGCAAGTCTGCCCTGGCTGTAGCCGCCGATCTCGGTCAGATGCTTCACTAAATCCGATACTGTCACCTTCAGCAGTAAGACTTCTGCAAAGATTTTAAATTTTTGAGGCGATTTAGATCCCTTTTTTTATGGAGTTCTCAGGATGTGCGACCGGTCAGGTCGGCAGTTAGGCTCCGCCCCTCAAAATTTCAGACTTTTTATGTGGTTTTTTTTTATACAAATTTTTACGACAACTGTAAAACTTTTGCTAACATCAAATGTGCAAATAATCACAATTTAATTTACACGTACCATTAAAATGCAAAGCCAATAGGGACTAAAACGGCATCATGAGCAATAACTAATTTTATTGGAAAAGGACAATGCAAATTGCTGTACCTTTCCCCCCCGTCCCGCATTATTTTTTAAGCATTACATAGATATTTAATTAAAACACATACAAACATAACAAAAAAATTAACAAAATAAAATAGTTATTACATATATATTGTTGCTAGTCACCTTCTCCAGGAGAGCCGGAAGCTCTCTGAGCACATCCTGGCGATATGGGGCATGGCTCACTTACACTATCGGCCAATGGGTCAAGGGAGCTACTCTGCAGTGCAGGAGCTTTTTGCTCTCCTGTAGACTGAGACTGACACCCAGCAGACCACAGGTAAGTTGTCAAACTGTTTGTAAATGATCTGGCTACTTACCTTAAAATGGTGCCAGGGCGCTCCTGGTACCAATTATAGCACATTGTACTGGTTATGTTGCTTGGAGTGTTACTTTAAGTGTAGGATTGTGTAAAGAAAACATGTGTTAGGGATTTTTGTTTACTGTTTTAAAATAATCTGCCCACACCTGCTTTCAATAACACCTTTCCTTTTTCAAATTATATTCTTAGATCAGCTACTTCACTCCCCCACTCCAGTTCAGCAATCGTGTCTTGTTTCCTTCATCACTCAGTGTGGCCCCAGCTCTTTCTTCTCATGCCAAGGGCCTTGTCCAATTGATTCAAACTTTTGGTTGGACCTGGGTGGGAGTTCTTTCAGAAGTTGGAGGAGTTTCTACTGTGGCTCAAACCTTCATTGAGGAGCTGAAGACCACCAGGGTCTGCTTGGCCTTCTGGGAAAATGTTCCTTCTGCTCTAATAGATATAAGCCATGTGGCATCAGTTATAAAACGCTCCACAGCTAATGTAGTAGTTGTCTTCTCACTTGAATCTTACCTGAACCCTGTACTGATGGATCTTGCTTTGTCTGTGGACACCAAGGCAAAAATTTGGATATTCACTGAGGGTTGGTCTACATCTCCAAGACTGGTGAATCCAAAGCTCTCACACTTTCTCCATGGAGCACTGGGAGTTGCTCCTAGAAATGGGGCAGCTCCCGGATTGAAAGAGTTTGTACTGGGGCTTCAACCAAATCAGATAACTGAGAACCAATTCCTTATGGAGTTTTGGCAACTGGCATTTAGCTGTAGGTGGGGTATCCCTAATAATGAGTCCTTGTACTGGACTATATCTACTACCGGTAACACTTCATCCGTCTTCTCTGATTATTCCTTTTCCTCCACAACTTCCTCCCCATTCACTGTCTCCACTTCTGCACTTAACAGCTCTTACACTTTGCCCATTTGCACTGGACTGGAGGATCCTGCCTCTTTGCAGATATTTTCAGATATCAATAGCCTTCGGGTAACTTATAACGTCTATAAGGCTGTGAGGATGGTGGTCCAAGCTTTGAAGGACATGGCCACCTGCAAAGATAGGGAAGATGGATCGATCGATCGAGGAAGTTGTGTAGACATGCAACATTTTCAGCCCTGGCAGGTGAGAATTGCGCAGAATAAAATAATATAAACTAACATTTTATAGAAGAAAATGGTTTGAAAGTGAAGTTGTTGTAAAGACAGACCATTAGAATTTTAAACAAAGCGCGTGCATAAATTGCAACAATTTCATGAAAAATGATTTTGACGAGCAAAATATAAATATTTGATATTAATATTAAATATTTTTGGGCCATTTGGTTTGCGAAGAAGTAACCAATAAAGGGAAATAGAAGAATACCAGTAAAAAACAAAAGCAAGCTATATTTATATATATATATATATATATATATATATATATATATATATATATATATATATATATATATATATATATACATTATATATTTATTAAATATATAAATATAGATTTTTTTTAAATTTTTGCTGTGCTTCCTTTTTTTTCCCTTTATCAGTCAACATTTAGTGGCTGTCTTCTAACCTTCACTCACCTTTTTTTTCATCAATCATGTTTTCTTTATGCCATTGACAGAATGCTAAATCATAAAACTATTAAAATGGTTTTGCCAATTGTCCATTTCATTTGTTACGTGATTCGTCCATGCATAATTTCCGAGTCCAGGATTTTGGACGAACAGCCCAAAATTTGGACCAATCACATTTTATTTGAAATCAAATACGCAAATCTAATGACAAAGGGAAAAAAAAGACAGAAGGATAACTGGGACAAATTATTTTGCTGAGACCAAGATATGTATAACAAAGGAGAAGCAGAGAAGTAACCTTTTGTGTCTTGCTTCTCTTATTCTAAATGTCCTAAATTTCTCTTCTTCCATCCATTCCCCAGTTCCTCTATCACCTTCGCAGGGTTCACTTGAAAGGAAATGTTGGCGATGACTTATATTTTGATTCTCTTGGAAATGCACCAGCCGTATATGACATCATCAATTGGCAGGAAGAACCTTCGGGTCTCGCCAGTTTGGCAATTGTGGGAATGTATGAAAGTGGTGTCCTTCAAGGTCAAAACATTATCATTGACTACGCTTCTATCAAATGGGCAAAGGGCATTAAGCAGGTAAGGTTTGTCAGAACTACTTCACAATACGTTTCATGAGCATATGGTAAAAGTTCATGGGTCTCATATTTTGTTTCTTCAGCCGCCTGTTTCAAAATGTTCAGAAAATTGCCCACCTGGCTTTTGGAAAGCCCGACAGCAGGGACAGCCTCATTGTTGCTTTAATTGCATTCCCTGCGCTGCAGGTGAAATCTCTAATCAGACTGGTGAGTAACTTGAAGCCAAATGTTTACAGTATATAAAGTAAGTAAAAGGAGCAGAAAAAAATCTATATTTATATATTATTTATTCATAAAATGTGTATATATATATATATATATATATATATATCTTATTATTATTTAATTTTTTTTTACTGCTTTTCATGTTTCTCTCTATTGTTCATGTAGCGGAGTGTATGCTTGCCAGACATTTTTTTAATTCCCCTTTCTGGGCTGTCCTTATCCTCTGTAGCTGAATTACCACCTTTCGTGTCTTTTTCCCGGAATGTTTCGTGTGGTTCCTCTTTGGCAGTTCAGGAAATATGAACTACCGAACAGGGCGATCATTCGTACCCTGAAAGCTAGAGGTTCTCTTGTACCGATATTTTTTATGGATTTTCTGTACCTGAGAGATAATTAAATTAGATGAGTTTACTCAAGCAATTATCTCTCAGGCACAGGGAATTCTGGGGTTGAAACCCCTGCATTTGTTGTGAATGAAACCCCTTGCATGGTACTGGGCATTAAAGCTGTGTATGTGAGACTAAAGTTCAGTTGTACCCTCAGAAAGGTTCTGTGAGGAGGTGGATCATTCTTTGTCTGTTTTCTCTTGTTCCTGATGGCTTCTTGGTATACCTGGGGAGGGGGTGGATTATTATTTGGCTGTTTTCTCTTGTTCCTGATAGCTTCTTGGTATACCTGGGGAGGAGGTGGATCATTCTTCGGCTGTTTTCTCTTGTTCCTGATAGCTTCTTGGTATACCTGGGGAGGAGGTGGATTATTCTTTGGCTGTTTTCTCATGTTCCTGATGGCTTCTTGGTATACCTGGGGAGGAGGAGGATTATTCTTTGGCTGTTTTCTATTGTTCCTGATAGCTTCTTGGTATACCTGGGGAGGAGGTGGATTATTCTTTGTCTGTTTTCTCTTGTTCCTGATAGCTTCTCGGTATACCTGGGGAGGAGGTGGATTATTCTTTGGCTGTTTTCTCTTGTTCCTGATGGCTTCTTGGTATACCTGGGGAGGAGGTGGATTATTCTTTGGCTGTTTTCTCTTGTTCCTGATGGCTTCTTGGCATACCTGGGGAGGAGGTGGATTATTCTTTGGCTGTTTTCTCTTGTTCCTGATAGCTTCTTGGTATACCTGGGGAGGAGGTGGATTATTCTTTGGCTGTTTTCTCTTGTTCCTGATAGTTTCTTGGTATACCTGGGGAGGAGGTGGATTATTCTTTGGCTGTTTTCTCTTGTTCCTGATAGCTTCTTGGTATTCTTTGGCTGTTTTCTCTTGTTCCTGATAGCTTCTTGGTATACCTGGGAGCAGGTGGATTATTCTTTGGCTGTTTTCTCTTGTTCCTGATAGTTTCTTGGTATACCTGGGGAGGAGGTGGATTATTCTTTGGCTGTTTTCTCTTGTTCCTGATAGCTTCTTGGTATACCTGGGGAGGAGGAGGATTATTCTTCGGCATACCTGGGGAGGAGGTGGATTATTCTTTGGCTGTTTTCTCTTGTTCCTGATAGCTTCTTGGTATACCTGGGGAGGAGGTGGATTATTCTTTGGCTGTTTTCTCTTGTTCCTGATAGCTTCTTGGTATACCTGGGGAGGAGGTGGATTATTCTTTGGCTGTTTTCTCTTGTTCCTGATAGCTTCTTGGTATACCTGGGGAGGAGGTGGATTATTCTTTGGCTGTTTTCTCTTGTTCCTGATAGCTTCTTGGTATACCTGGGGAGGAGGTGGATTATTCTTTGGCTGTTTTCTCTTGTTCCTGATAGCTTCTTGGTATACCTGGGGAGGAGGTGGATTATTCTTTGGCTGTTTTCTCTTGTTCCTGATGGCTTCTTGGTATACCTGGGGAGGAGGTGGATTATTCTTTGGCTGTTTTCTCTTGTTCCTGATAGCTTCTTGGTATACCTGGGGAGGAGGTGGATTATTCTTTGGCTGTTTTCTCTTGTTCCTGATAGCTTCTTGGTATACCTGGGGAGGAGGTGGATTATTTTTGGCTGTTTTCTCTTGTTCCTGATAGCTTCTTGGTATACCTGGGGAGGAGGTGGATTATTCTTTGGCTGTTTTCTCTTGTTCCTGATAGCTTCTTGGTATACCTGGGGAGGAGGCTGGATTATTCTTTGGCTGTTTTCTCTTGTTCCTGATAGCTTCTTGGTATACCTGGGGATGGACCTGGGGAGGAGGTGGATTATTCTTTGGCTGTTTTCTCTTGTTCCTGATAGCTTCTTGGTATACCTGGGGAGGAGGTGGATTATTCTTCGGCTGTTTTCTCTTGTTCCTGATAGCTTCTTGGTATACCTGGGGAGGAGGTGGATTATTCTTTGGCTGTTTTCTCTTGTTCCTACCTGGGGCTTCTTGGTATACCTGGGGAGGAGGTGGATTATTCTTTGGCTGTTTTCTCTTGTTCCTGATAGTTTCTTGGTATACCTGGGGAGGAGGTGGATTATTCTTTGGCTGTTTTCTCTTGTTCCTGATAGCTTCTTGGTATACCTGGGGAGGAGGTGGATTATTCTTTGGCTGTTTTCTCTTGTTCCTGATAGCTTCTTGGTATACCTGGGGAGGAGGTGGATTATTCTTTGGCTGTTTTCTCTTGTTCCTGATGGCTTCTTGGTATACCTGGGGAGGAGGTGGATTATTCTTTGGCTGTTTTCTCTTGTTCCTGATAGTTTCTTGGTATACCTGGGGAGGAGGTGGATTATTCTTTGGCTGTTTTCTCTTGTTCCTGATAGCTTCTTGGTATACCTGGGGAGGAGGTGGATTATTCTTTGGCTGTTTTCTCTTGTTCCTGATAGCTTCTTGGTATACCTGGGGAGGTGGATTATTCTTTGGCTGTTTTCTCTTGTTCCTGATGGCTTCTTGGTATACCTGGGGAGGAGGTGGATTATTCTTTGGCTGTTTTCTCTTGTTCCTGATAGCTTCTTGGTATACCTGGGGAGGAGGTGGATTATTATTTGGCTGTTCTTGGTATACCAGCAGAAAAGAATCCCTGCTAGGACTTGGGCTCCGCTACAGCTCATTTTGCACTTAATCTGTGAAAAGAAAAAAGCACTTTTGTAATTTGAGAGTAAAGCAACAATGCAGCTATTCCTGTATTTTTACATATTAAAACTACAAATAGAATGTTGAGATTTAACAAGTACAGTCTTATCTTTAATAGAAAAAAAAAGATATTTCATTTTGGTGTGATTCACATAGTTACTAAATGTCCATACATGTATCTATAGTCCGTGCTGCTATCAGAATTCTAAAACTATTGGCAGGGCTCCCCTAACGCACAGAATCAGAAATAACTGCACCCTCCATACACACATATACATTGTAGCGAAGTAGTAGTATTATCCACAGTATCTCCGCTGGCAGACAGAATAAAGCAGATACAAAGTAGACAAAATCCATGTAGCGTAGTTACAATCCCTTTCTCCCATTCGGTAGTTTGTTCGTTTCACGAACAGTGTTGAAATTCACTGTTCGTGAAACTACTGTAGGAATGTTGGTGGCTTCCGTGCCACCAGCATACGAATGCTCTTGTTCGCATCAGGTACAGAAAAGGGAACATGCACAGTTTAGCCTTAAAGATACAATATTACAGGAATGGAAATACAGTTTTAAGTGGCTAGTTTTGCCACATACATATTGACAGATACACACACAGATACACATGTCCAGTCCCACACCTTCCCACATTCACACATACACACTGCACATAGAGAAAAAAAAATACTGCCACAAACAAACACAGATATACTACCACATATACATACAGATACACATACATACACAGCACACACACTGCAACACATATACACAAAGTGAAACACACTGCCAGACAAAGACACACTACCACACACAAATACACATTCATATACTCAGGGCCGACATCAGATACTTTGGGGCCCCTGACAAAGCACAAGGTCTGGGCCTCCCTCCCAGGCACGCCCACGCCCTACCTAGTCCGCTGACAATGATGCAGGACTGAATGTGGTGTGTATAGTGGAAGTGAATTAGAATGTGTGTAATGGATGTAGTGTTTGTGTGTATTAAATACTGTTTGTGCAGTGAATGCAGAGTGTGTGTTTGTGTAGCGGATGCAGTGTGTATAGTGAACGCAGAGTGTGTTTGAGTAGTGGATGCAGTGTGTGTACAGTGATGTAGTGTGTGTTTGTGTAGTGGATGTAGTGTTTGTATGTACTAGATGAAATGTGTTTAGTGGATGCAGTGTCTGTAGTGGATGTAGTGTGTGTATTAGACGCAGTGTCTGTGTATAGTGAATGCAGAGTGTGTGTCAGTATAGTGAATCCAGAGTGTGTGCATAGTTTAGTGAATGCAGAGTGTGTGTTAGTGTGTAGTGAATGCAGACTGTGTCAGTGTAATGAATGTAGTGTGTGTGTTAGTGCAGTGAATGCAGAGTGTGTGTAAGTGTGTAGTGAAAGCAGAGTGTGTGTTAATGTGTAGTGAATGCAGAGAGTGTGTTAGTGTGTAGCGGATGCAGAGTGTGTGTTGGTGTAGTGAATGCAGAGTGTGTTAATGTGTAGTGAATGCAGAGAGTGTGTTAGTGTGTAACGGGTGCAGAGTGTGTGTTAGTGTAGTGTATGCAGAGTGTGTGTTGTATTAGTGTATGCAGAGTGTGTTTTGTATTATTGAATACAGAGTGTGTGTTGTATTAGTGTATGCATAGTGTGTGTTGTATTATTGAATGCAGAGTGTGTGTTGTGTTAGTGCATGCAGAGTGTGTGTTGTGTTAGTGTATGCAGTGTGTGTGTTGTCGTAATGTATGCAGAGTGTGCTGTGTTAGTGTATGCAGTATGTGTGTTGTATTAGTGTATGCAGTGTGTGTGTTGTGTTAGTGTATGCAGTGTGTGTGTTGTATTAATGTATGCAGAGTGTGTGTTGTGTTAGTGTATGCAGTGTGTTGTGTTAGTGTATGCAGTGTGTGTTGTGTTAGTGTATGCAGTGTGTGTGTGTTGTGTTAGTGTATGCAGTGTGTGTGTGTTGTGTTAGTGTATGCAGTGTGTGTTGTATTAGTGTATGCAATGTGTGTGTTGTGTTAGTGTATGCTGTGTGTGTTGTGTTAGTGTATGCAGTGTGTGTTGTATTAGTGTATGCAGTGTGTGTGTTGTGTTAGTGTATATTAAATTTAATTAAATGTTTCTCCCCCCTCCCTGCTTCTTACCTGTGTCCAGGGAGAGGGGAGATTCCATCCCTGGTGGTCCGGTGGCATGGGGGGCCCCCCGGCTCACTGTTACCGCAGAGGGGGCCCAGCACACTGCCTCTACTCTTCTCTTCTCTTCTCTTCCAATAACTCTCGCGAGACCCACGGAGTGTTGCCATGGTAACCGGGTCTCGCGAGAGTTATTAGAATAGAGGAGAAGAGAAGAGTAGAGGCAGTGTGCTGGGCCCCCTCTGTGGTAACAGGGAGCCGGGGGCCCATGGCTGCACACATAGATAGCGATATTCGCCATCTATGTGTGCAGAGAGGGAAAGTGGGGCCCGGGACGGCCTTGCATATACTGCTACAGATACACAGAAACACACACTGACATATATATATAAAGGTTGTCACACACAGACACTGACAAAATATTATGCCAGCTGAGTTCTGTCTTAGTCATCCTCCTCCATGCCTACCATTGTGCTTCCCAGGGATCCAACAGGGAGCTGCTCTGGGTCTGGGAGAAAAAGAAATAGGCCCAGGCATTTCCTGGCATAGCAGCCCAATTTTAAATATTGCAAAATTTCAATTTCAATTTGTAATTCAAATTTCTTTTGGATCCAAAAAAACAAATATGAAGACCTGGAAAATGTACACAGGTACAAACATACAGAAATACAAATACACACAGACAGGCACATACACACACAAAAATACACACTCATAGATACACACATACAGAAATACAAATACACACAGACAGACACATACACACACAAAAATACACACTCATAGATACACACATACAGAAATACAAATACACACAGACAGGCACATACACACACAAAAATACACACTCATAGATACACACATACAGAAATACAAATACACACAGACAGACACATACACACACAAAAATACACACTCATAGATACACACATACAGAAATACAAATACACACAGACAGACACATACACACACAAAAATACACACTCATAGATACACACATACAGAAATACAAATACACACAGACAGGCACATACACACACAAAAATACACACTCATAGATACACACATACAGAAATACAAATACACACAGACAGGCACATACACACACAAAAATACACACTCATAGATACACACATACAGAAATACAAATACACACAGACAGACACATACACACACAAAAATACACACTCAAAGATACACACATACAGAAATACAAATACACACAGACAGGCACATACACACACAAAAATACACACTCATAGATACACACATACAGAAATACAAATACACACAGACAGGCACATACACACACAAAAATACACACTCATAGATACACACATACAGAAATACAAATACACACAGACAGACACATACACACACAAAAATACACACTCAAAGATACACACATACAGAAATACAAATACACACAGACAGGCACACACACATAAAAAAAATACACACTCATAGATAAACACATAGAGAAATACAAACACACATACAGGCACACACACAAACAAATTTACACTCAAAGATACAGACATACAGGCACACAGATACAGATTCACAGAGATACATATTTACTGAGACACTCATAGATGAATATGTAGGATAAGGTAAGAGGGAAAGTGGAGCTTCCCTTTGCTCTACAATAGTGAAGTATCTTATTTTCTGACATACTCCCAGGCTGCTAACAATCATACAAACAGCTAAAAATAAATGCACAATAAAGAACACAGCAATCAAACAAAGTGAACAGTGCACAATAAAATATTGTAATGGTGGGTTATATCTTACTTAATCCGTAAGTGCAATGACATGCAACCCTCTTAAAATGTCTCTACATATGTATTATAAAATATAATAAAAGCACACATATACCCCAAAGTCTGGTATAATTATGCCTGCAGAAAATAAGAAAACAGAAAACAATCTCATAGGGTAGTATAGTAATCACAGGTAATACTTGGATAATATTATTCTCTTAAAGTATCACACTCACATTTTTCTGAGCCTGTTCAAATAACTGGCTCAGGTAGTACAGCATATGTGTGATAGTTGTAGTTCCAGACGGGGTAAGTGGCTAATTATCACATCCTGCCCCATGTAATTCCCCCGTAGCTTCAATGATAAATTGTTGCAGTTCCCACCTGCCTTTTAAGTCTTACTACAAACGCTCCTGGAGGTACTGCTGTTATGTCCCTAGCAGGGCTTGAGTCCTGCAGGAACGCGTGGGAATGGCGTTCCTTTACTTTTTTCACAGCAGGAACACCGTTCCCCCTGCAGGCACTAACCAGGGGGCAGCAACAAATGCCGCCCCCAAATGCTCTGTGTTCCCCCTGTCATGGACCCCCCCACCTGATGGACCCCCCCGGCATGCGGCGGCCTCCCTGTCACACGCAGCGAGGGAGCTGTGTTCTCTCCGCTCTGCTCACTCGTGCACAGTTTGCTGATGCCGCAAGCATCAGTAGACAGCCAGCGCGAGGGAGCAGAGCAAAGAGAACACAGCTCCCTCGCCGTGTGTGACAGGGAGACAGCCGCCTGACTCACTGCAGCCCCATTGGACCCCAGGGACCCATCGATGCCAGCTTTCCCCAAAAGGTAGGGAGGCTGGGTGGGTGGGAAATGTTAATTTTAATAATATTAATAATTTGTATATATGTGTGTGTGTGTGTGTATGTGTATGTCTGTTAGTGTATGTGTGTGTGTGTGTCTGTTAGTGTATGTATGTATGTCTGTTCGTGTATATGTGTATGTGTAAGTTTGTGTCAGTGTGTGTATGAGTTTGTGTATGTCTGTTAGTGTATGTGTGTGTTTAAGTGTATTTACGTCTGTTAGCGGATGTACGTGTGTGTGTATAAGTGTATGTGCTTCTGTTAGCATATGCATGTGTGTGTATGAGTGTATGTGCTTCTGTTAGTGTATGCATATGTATGTTTGTGTGTATGTGCTTCTGTTAGTGTATGTTTGTGAGTGTCAAATCAGTGAGAGTCTGTTTGTCATTTAGTGTGTGCGTGACTATTAGTGTATGTCTGTCAGTGTGTTTGTGTGTGTCTCTCTGTCAATGAATGAGTGTGTGTCAGTAAATGTGTGTGTGTCAAATCAGTGATGTCTGTGTGTTTGTCATTGAGTGTGTGTGTTACTGTCAGTGTGTAACTGCCAGAGTGTGTCAGTGAATGTGTGTGTGCTGTCAGAGAGTGTGTTTAAAGGGACACTATAGGCACCCAGACAACTTCAGCTCATTGAAGTGGTCTGGGTGCAGTGTCCCAGTCCCCTTAAACCTGCAAGTGTAATTATTGCAGTTTCTTAGAAACTGCAATAATTACCCTGAGGGATAACTCCACCTCTAGTGGCTGTCTACCAGACAGCCTCTAGAGGGACCTTCGGGTGGTTAGGTGACCAAAAGTCGCCTAACTGATACTGGACGTCCTCACCCTGTGCATGAGGACATTCAGCATCTGCTTAATACCCATAGGATTTTATCCCCTTCAGTGTCGAGTGGGGGAGGGGAGGGCACTAGGGAGGGGGGCACTGTAGGGAATTATAGTGCCAGGAAAACAGCTTTGTTTTCGTTGCACTATAGTATTTCTTTTAAAGGAGCAGGAAAAGGTGGAGTCTAAAGAGGAAGGGGTGGGGTCTTAATCAGGAAGCGGTGCGCCCTTGGCAGGAAGGGGTGGTAAATTTAGATTAGGGGGTGCTCAGGTATAGTCATGCATCACAAAATTAAAATACACCACTGTGTGAGTGTCTGAGTATGTGTGTGCATCTGTTAGTGTCTGAGTGTATGTGTATGTCTGTAAGTGTATGTGTGTGTCTGAGTGTGTGTGTGCACGTGTTTATATATGCGTACGAGTGTTTCATTTTTGGGGGGGTTATTTCCCAAACTTTTTTCCCCAGGACTTGACCCCTGGTCCCTAGTCAATACAACAATAGCATGGAGTGACCTACTTAACTTCAAGTTCATAGCACAGTTGCAGAAATATGTAAATACATGCTTGGCGCCTTTTCCATGGTTGAGGCCTGGGCCCCTTATGTGCCTAATGGTTTCTACTACCTGATGGTGGCCCTGCCTACAGTACTAATATTTAAATTTTCTTTTCTCTTCAGACTCCTTAGATTGTTTCCTGTGCTCAGATGACAAATGGCCCAATTTGGCACGTGACCAATGTCTTCCACGGGAGGTTGAGTTACTGTCCTTCACTGATCCTCTAGGAATCTCACTGGGAACGACATCCATCCTTGGCTCCGCTCTACCAGGATTTGTTTTGTTTCTCTTCGTCAAGAATCGAGATACCCCACTAGTCCGAGCCAATAACCAGGCCCTCAGCTTCCTACTACTTGCCGGTCTCACTTTCTGTTTCCTCTGCCCTGTCCTCCTACTCCTCCCACCAGGCAATCAAATGTGCCTCATACGTCAGGCAGCCTTTGGAGTGCTCTTCACCTTATGTGTATCTTGCCTTTTGGCCAAAACCTTCATTGTTGTCCTAGCGTTCCGAGCTAACCAACCTGGGGGATGTATCAGAGTGCTAATGGGACCTCGCTGGCCCATTTTGATTGCCCTAAGTTGCACTTTCCTTCAGTTCATTCTTTGTCTTTTTTGGATCAGTGTAGATCCTCCTTTTCTAGAGCATGATGTTAAAAGCCAGCTTGGAAAAGTAATAATCCAATGTAACGATGGCCTTGGCTTCTGGCTTATGCTGTGTTACCTAGGTCTTTTGTCTGTAATATGTTTTTTAGTTGCCTTTTTGGCAAGAAAACTACCTGGAGCCTTCAATGAAGCAACTCATATCACCTTCAGCATGTTGGTGTTCTTGATTGTCTGGGTGTCTTTCGTCCCACCATACCTCAGCACAGATGGCAAACTGTCCGTGGCAACAGAAATCTTTGCCATCCTCTCCTCTAGTGCAGGACTTCTGTTTTGTATCTTCTTTCCAAAATGCTATATTATTCTTCTGCAGCCCCAGCTCAACACAAGGGAATTGGTTTCTGGTCACCAAAGAAAACATTCAAGGAAGAATTTCAGATCCATAAGAAATAAAATGGAAAGCAAATACTCAGCTAGGACATAGTTCTTTGAAGGCACACTTCCATTACCATAACCACTACATCACATTCTAGTGGTTATGGCGAGAAAGGTCTGTAGGTGCAATCTGTTTACTAACAATCTTATAAACAAAATGTGTCTCTCTCATTGATTAAAGCTATGTCTGACTCCTGCAGGTTGTATAATGCAGAAGCAAAGTTTGGACAGTGATGATAAACTGAGAAGACTGGGTTAGCACAGTGCCTTTGGCTTATCATGATGTTTAGAGTATCCCTTTGAATTCAGATCCAACGAAAGAAGTAATAAAGCTGAGTTTTGATGATTTGTAGAAACTTCCAACCTCATGTATGTTAAAAAGGATCCTGAGAGTACCTTTGTTATTTGTCCTAGAATATTAAAATATTTTAATGTATATAAAACACTAATCATTGTTCACTTAATTATTACAAATGAGAAACTGAATTCCATTTTTAATAACGTGTTTTATCTAAATTCGACCTCATTCCAGCCTTACTCTTGAATATAACAGATTATTAAGGGAAAAAATAAACCTCCGAATTGTAAAAGAATTTACATTGATTCCAAGGCTCAAGCTTATAGGTGTCATGTTAGATATCCTATATTAAAATTGGTTTACTTGGACTCAGGAAATGCTTAATGCTTAAAACGACACTTAAGACCATATATGTTTAGTTCCGGGAACAGATAGCCCCCACCTGAGCTGTCTCCCCTAAATTAGTCTGTTCCTTCTCTATCCCGGAACTTATCTGTTATATGTACATGACGTTCATCCCTATGTATTATCTGTACTCCCTTCACCCTTTCACTCCCTCCTACTACTGTCCTATGAGTATCTGCATGTAAGCACTTACTTTTTTTTTTTTTTTATTCTTTATTTTTAGTGTGCATAAGTTTGACAGACATGCATATTTGGCCACGATAACAAGTAAAGGCATTTCACATTGCATTATTCTGTGGCATATAAGAGAATTGCACATTTTTATGTAACTAACAGGTTAATACAGGTTATGTCAGAGAATGGTCAGACAATAAGCGTGATCGAAAGTAGTGTAGGCTGACATTAACTTTGTCAACGAGGAGATAGTTATGAGACATGCTGAACTATGAGTAACTCAAAAGTTTGGGGGCCACTGGGTACTCAAGGGCGTAGTATTGGGATATATCATATTTACACACTAACGTAGTTGCTAGGCATGGCAATAGCTGGATATGAGCACTAGGTGATGCTAGATTAGCTTGACCGGCATATGTACATAGTGGAATTTAAAATAACAAGGCAATAAAGATTTAAAGCACAATTCCACGAAAGAAGGAGAAACCCCCCCCAAAAAAAAAAAAAAACATACAGATGTAATTGCTAGACATGGTAGTAGCTAGTTCTGAGCAGTGTGTGACTTGCTAAATTAGCTAGACTGGCATTTGTACTTATCAGAGTTAAAATGAGAAGGGGAAATAAAGATTAAAGCACAATTTCCACTGCAACTGGGTGTTTTCCTGAGCTGGTTGTATTACTGATGTGACTGCTAGGGGGGGAAAGTGTAAAAAAACAGTAGAACCCTAGGGTAAGATCTCCCCCGGAGAGCACGCAGTGGAAAGGTGAGCCAGTGGTGGTTATTGCTCATCTCCATGCGGCAAGTGGGTATTAAGTGCCTCTACTTGCTTAACCTATGCCTATTGATGGCGGACTGACACCCCTGGGGATCATAAGACCACCTCTCTGCAGGTGAGCGCCGTACCAGTCCCAAGCTCTTGTGTGCTCTTGTTCAGCGCTGGCTGAAAGGCCATCTAGTCCAGTTGCTGGGACTTGGTCTCTGGGCCTTCTCTGTGCTCCGAATCTGTGTTGCCATGTGTGTGTTCTCCGGCGGAGGGGTCCGCGAGTATGTAGTCGGCTCCCATCTGAGCGTCGTGCATAGAAGCTGCGGCAAGGTTGTAAGGTGAGTGGTCGGTGTTGGCATGCTGCTTTTCGGTTCGGTGTCGGGAGAGTCCGCCGGCGGGCCCGTCGGCAAGATGGGCGCAACTCCGCGTGGGCACTGGATCGGTGAATTGCCGCTTCAGCCTCCTTCACCTTCATAGCAGGTAGGTCAGAATGGGTGGCTTTATGCTCCATGCGCTTCCAGAATTCCTGGCAGATTCGATCAAAGCGGGCTTCAAAGTGCTCTCTCCAGGTCTGGATCTCAGGGCTTGCTTGAGACTGCAGAGATTGCTGCTCGGCGGCCATTTTGGGCCCGAGCCGCGGTCTCCCCTCCAGCAGATCAGTCCCTTGTGGTGAGTTTGTGGGATTCCCCAGTGGGGACCGGGATGACCCCCACCGGTCCAGAGGGGGGGGATGCGGGATGCCAGGTGAGCTGCTGCTTGTAGCGGTCCCCAGGGCGGGGGATCGGCCGCCTCTCCCAACCATGAGGCTGCTGTCCTTGCTAGGCCGCATTTGTGGAGTGTGGTATTTCTAGAAAAAAGTTCACAAAACAGATGTCCACGAGCCTCCACGCAGTCTAGTGATGATTTTTTGTTGAGCAGGACTGCTAAATTCAAGGTTTTGGCCAGTAATAGCCAATTTAAATCTCGTTTGTGTCAGAGCTCTCTGCATGCACGTCCAGCTAGCTCTGCTGTCAGGCCCCGCCCCCAAGCACTTACTTTTTAATGTATAAAAATACAACTGGCAAAATAAAGGTTGGAGACTTATTTTGATAACCAACACGAGTCTGGTGTCTTATTAAAGCTTCTCCAAGTGCACTTGATACAATTTGGGTTCCTCTGAATATAACAAAGATCAATATTTGGATCTATATCAATTGGTGCCGAAACCCGGGAAGGGACAATGAGTTCAGTTAAAGCATTAATGGGGAGGTGGTCTGAACAATTACCCCTGCCTGCAGTAATTCTTGCACAGATTGGGAAATAGCATCTTCCTGTGCAGGGCTTAGGGGGTATTATTTTTGACAGGGAGGGGTGGCTCTGGGCAAGAGATTCACTTTGACTGGAGGCACAGAGAGTCTGCCTGTATCTGTCTTCCCTGTAGCCCACAAAGAATCAGGGACTGAGGACAAGTCAATGGAAGGTTCTGGCACATGGCTGGGCATAGTGAGAGTTGCCAGAACATTTGAGAGGCATATCATTTGTTTTTCCTCTAAAGGCACAGAAAACGTTACTTATCTAGTGGGGCTATACTGAATATTTGCATTAAGGTTCCTCTGAATATAACAAAGATCAATATTTGGATCTATATCAGAATAGTGGCTAATATTAAATTGGTATTTAAAAAAATGGATTTGTAAAAAAAATAAAACTAAAGTATTGCAAGCAAAAGTTATAAAGAGTGCATTCTTTGGATAAAATGTAATGTGAATTTATAGTGTACCTTTTATGACAGAAAAAGGATTGCCTCATGTTTACCTTAATACTATTAAAAGCTCATATTTTATTTTCATTACCCCTGTCTCCTGCTGAGGTCACCAATCATGTTTCAGTGGGTGTTAAACTTGCTGTAAGACACACCTCTCTTGGGTAGACTTGCTTCACATAACAAGTTAAAAGTCTCTAACAGTTTAGGTTGGCAATGTGTAAATAAAAATGTGTTATTCTCTTTCTCCATTCTCAGATTGCCTGTCCAAAGTTGCTGCAATAAATCATTGTGGCTGTTTCTCTCCTTTCTGGCGCTGCTCTCACACAGAACCTTCCCCTTCTCTCTACCTCTCTTTGCAGTCACTTACATTGAATTCAAGAGATGCCCAGAGTAGGGTTTCTCTGAAAACAGCCTTTTAGTATATATGCAGAATGGCACAGTTCCACCACAGACTGAACTGTCTGGGAGTTTTCTGTGAGACCATTTTTGAGCAATTTAATTTAAAAATATGCTTCTTCCCAGCACAGCTTAGAATATATTCATTGGATGTCAATGATAGGCTAGGAGATGTGGGTTAACCCACCCCAGTATTGCCAGTCTATCAATTTTCTAATAACAATGTATTTATATAGATAACATGGAGGAAGGCTAATTTCTACATTGCACATGCAATGTCAGAGAAGATGGGCTAAATATTCCCAGGGACGGGTCTTAGAAAAATATATTACAGAAAACATGGCAACACTGCTCATAGACTTATAGCCCCATAACCAAAACAATGAGATGTAGGGGTTATGGTGCTTTGAGTGTCTCTCTAAGTACATCTTGTGATGAACTCACTATTGATCATCTATTTGGTAGAGTTCCCCCTATTTCGTTTTCCAAGTTTCCCCAAACTCAAAGTGCCTTTTCCTGGTTCGGTATTTGCAAACTACCGAACACTGACCACTCCCTGGCTCGTTAACTACAAAGTAACCACAGACTTAAGTGCTCTTTCTAAGTGGCCACCATTCGTATAACCGAAACCACGTGCTACAGAAAATGGCAGCTGTTTTGTCTGCTAAACGCAAGCAGTATATGGAACTCTGGTTCAGTTACCTAACCTCACGAACCCTGGGAAGATCGTACTGCTGCCTACTCCGTTCCCAGACTAGTCCGTAGAGCGATTTACGGTGAACAGATTCTACCAAACAAAGAGACCATTTGCTCCCTACGAGCCAAGGGGAACCTTTGTTTGATTTTGTATGGGAAACCTGACCGGCAAAAACACCAAATGCCCTGAACTTGTTTGGGGCATGGGACCATGTGTGTGGACGATCAAAACATTACCACAGTGGCGATTCACCTAGAGTACATGGATCTGAGTACTATTTAGACAACTCGAGCGCTTAGATTTAGACTATCCGGGGATATGACACTTGTGGTGGTTCCTAGCGATATTATGTGTGTTTTAAGGTGTTTTTTGTATTAGAGTGAGTACCTCTAGTGCCTGGGAGATAATTAGTTTAAGCTAAGCACTTTTCTCCCAGACACAGAGACGCTTGGATGGGCTTACCATTGTAATGAATGGTGTATATAAACAGGCGACATGGCCCTAATAAAACAGTTTATTTTGTATCCTTCATCAAGACTCGGCTGATGTTTGGGTATACTAGAGTTATAATCACTGTTTCACTACTGGACCTGGGAAAATCTTCAAGAGATATACTCAGTCGGAATAAAGGGGATCCGTTACACTGGTGGCAAGCCATTTTTCTCACGAATGAATATCCCGAACCAGGAGATGCAGTGAATGGCCCAGCAGTTCCAGCTCCTCAAGTGAACCACACTAAAGGATTTACTGGAAGCTCGAGGGAGAGTGTCGAGCAACAACCCGAAAGCTGCACTTGTAGCTGAGTAGTGGTATAATCCATGTTATCTCCGCTGTTAGTCGGATTCAGCATACAAAGTGCAGGTAGCGTAAATACAATCCGTTTTTCCCAAGAACTAGATGAAACATAGTTTGGGAGTCAACTGAGCTTTTATTGCAATGCAACCGTTTATATACAAGTCCCCATGCAAGGGGTTTCCATAATGGCATTCCAGGGGTTTTCCCCTGGTGGACTCTGTGGAAATCTTAACTTGCAATGCTATTTTCTATAATGCTTTTCTGTACTGGAGAGATAATTGCGTAAGAGTATACTGTTAATTACATTATCTCGCTATACAGAAAAATATAACATTTAACATAAAAATACATAACTTGTATAATTTTCAGCTGAATTGCCCGAAAGACCCTTCATTGAATGGCTGGGATCTGAGCGCACCATCTGGCGAAATACCGCTCAGATCCATTCGTCAGAATAGAAAAGCCATTCGAATGATGGTTTCATATGAATACCCATTGACATTACACAGTTAGATGCTGGCTGTTCGAATAGGAGGGTTCGTGGAGTTTAATCCGTCGAACGCCGCTCTATTTACACGAATGGATTTAATCATACGAACGGCATGGAAGTCTAGCGGTGTTCGCGAGG